AATTGATTGGAAGAAACGTTTCAAGCAAGAAGATTCAAACACACACATACTAAACATGAATAGGAACCCTTAAGTTATTCAATAGTTAACAAACAGACATACACAATACGTGATTAAAACATGATAGTTAAACGTGTGGGTTACATACATAATATGGAGTTATGCATAGAAATTATTAGTTGCTCATAAGTCCTTTTAGCGTCATTTAGGTGCATATATACATGGAAAGGTAGTTTCTGTGGCATTCTGTGGACGTAAGGATACGTTCTGTGAAGACCAGAGAGGTTAAAATGTCTGTAAGGAATCTCAGTCTGTTCTCTGTCTCAGAGGTGGGGGAAGCCAATCCAAAGAGCTTGTGATTGCTATCACTGGTTACCATGTGATGGTCACGCCGTGCATCTCTTTTGACCATTAATCTTAATTACTTGCCCCAAAATTGACAATCTCCTTGGAATTGTCAATAAGTGTTCTTTTGTTTAAATGCTGTGAGCTACTCAAAGCTGCTGGTTGGTTCAGGCTTGGGGCGCCAGGATCTGATTTACGACATCCTGTGTCTTGGGCCTCTGTGGAATTTGGCTCCTCATGTTTCAACCATGTTTTGACCAAATCTTAGATTTTCTGATTCGGTCTGATATCCTACAATAGAATCATTTTGAATTATTTATTTTTTAGCCATCTCACATACTTTGATACTTGTTTTGTAACTACTGTATATGGTTGTAAAATGTGAGACAGCGATTGAGCAGGCAATGCATTTATATGTCCAACCTTTCCTTCTGCCTCACAAGTAGGCTACTATATAAAAAAAATTATTTTTTTCCTCATTGCTGATGTACAGTTTAAAAATACTGTACAATACATTAATACTGTGATATATACTAATACTGTTATTCAAACGCATTGTGGCTGTTGTGGATGGACAGATAACAATTAGTAAGAAAGTTAGATGTATAATGAGAGTAAAATCTGGCCAATGATGATTCATATGTACAAACTGTAAAGGCACATTTGCATTTTTTCCCATACTTCCACTGAACAGATGGTGGCTATGGGGGCAATATTCTGTAGAAGGGGTCATTTAAATGCATGATTGCCATGATTGAAAATGACATCATAGTTTTCCTGTTGCATGTCAAAGAGCACCGAGGGTGCTTAATGGATGAAATGTGGTGGGTTTTTATTTAGAGATAATATCAGTCATTTTTTTGTCTTTTCAGTAATTTTAATGTCCTCTTGTTCTTTTTGAGGAATAGAAATGTGTGTATGCAAGCATTGCTGTTCAGTCAACCTATTTATGTTCATTTCTATAGGTCATTTTCAAAGCGACCTTCTGTTTGTCTTGCCTTTTGCCACCCCTGCACCAAACATCAGTTATCATCAAGACTTTTTTTAAACAAAACATTAATTATCAAGACGGACTTTTGTGGTTACTGGACGAATGTTTGGACACTGTAGGAAGTGTACCTTAATATAGCTTTAAAACATGTTTGTATACTTTAGTCTTTTGAGGTGTTCATTTATCATGTGTGCACTACTTCGTATCATAATTCATGTTGTTCAACAACACCAGTGTTTATAGGAGAGCTATGTATGTTTCTTCATTAATTATTCATGCACAGCCAAGCAATCTAAATAGCGCTAAAAACACTTTTTAGTACATAGCTATACATAATAGAAAACTAAAGTAATTAATTTCAGAATAAAGTTGCACACCAAATAATGCATCTATATCGGAGTCCTTTTTGTATGTGAAATGCTGAATTGCAAAAACTTAAATTATACCCATATTAAACCATATTTTCTGCTCCCAGAATGGGAGCAGAAAATATGGTTTTTTTTCTTATTGATTCCAGACTGAGCTTAAAATCTCATGCACAGACATCCCACTCATTATGATTAAGCAGATGGAAATTAGCATTTTTCAAATGACATCCCCGCTCATTTGGGAAAAAGTAACCATACACATCACATACCGGTCATCTGCCAGTGACCCTTGACAGGTTTTATTGTCCAGATATGCATAATGGATAACATCCTCAGTCCCTATTACAGTTTTTCAGTTACTCAGATTATATTTAGACAGAAGAAGGGATTTTATTAAGTGTCACCTTTTACAGTTATTTCTCTTGGCTCTTTCTTTCTCAGCTGAACTTCATCCTGTTTGTGAATATTGTGAGGGTTCTCGCCACCAAGATCCGCGAGACCAACGCAGGCAGATATGACACACGGAAACAGTACAGGTTTGTGCATCCACTTCCACTGAGCCTGTTTTTATGCATTCAAGTGCCTTGAAATTGTGAATTCAGTGTTATACCAGCCCAAATTGTCTGTGTCATTACAGCAGCATCATCTCTGCTATTAGACTGCAAAGAATGGAAGCTGTCCCTACAGAAGCAATTTTTTTCCTTATGTAATTTAGGCAAAATCTTTCATCTGACAGCTTAAAGTCAGAATCGCCTGTGGCTAAGAGATGCTGCGATAATAAGCTTCCCCTAAGCCTACTCATTCTGCAGCTTGATTCAGATTGTGGTTTCCATCATTCCATCATGTGCTGAAATCAGTGTCGCATTGCACTGGCTATTATAGATTTGATCTTGTTACATGCTGAAAGAAAATCTTTAGCTTCCATTTTTGTCTGGCTTTGAAAAAAAAATGCTTTTAGACCCTATAAATGCACATTTGGGTTTGGCATGTCAAAATGTTATTCTGGATACTCCCTAAAATAATCCAGTTTGGAGCAAATACAATGCCAATAGATGTCATTTTGTGCGACTAATAACAGTAATCAATTTGATCATTGCTGCCTCTCTGCTAAGTAGCAGCATCACAGGTGTCAGCTTGCACAGCTGGTAGAACAGACATAAAGACACAGTCATATTTGCAAACACAGTGAATAGTGCATTTTGCTCAGCCAAAGAGAACTTTGTCATAAATTCAATAGAAATAAATCTGTAATGCAAATATGAATGCTCGTACGTCACATCATTTTGACTCTTATTTGGTACAACGCTCCTTTTACTGGAACACTATGGTTGATCAAACTTAGCGGGGCTTCAATTAAAAGAGGATCCGTACCTCATGATCTTCCAGCATTGCTTTTTTCCAATTATTTTTCATGACTAATTTGCAAGACATTTTAACCTGCCTGGCAGGCAAGGCGTAGCAGTTAAAAAAGATATTGCACTTGTCTTTATTCTGATTAAAGCCACACGGAGGCGTGTGGGATGTCATTCATCAAACACAGATTAAAGACAAACTTGAATTCGTAATATCACAACTACGTCACACACCGTATTTGACGTCATCGGCCAACACAAATATCTCACTGAGATCAAAAAGTGTTACATGTTGCTTGACTGGGGATATTTCAACGGTGGTCGCATGGCAGTAAAGATTCTGTGTTATCGGTCTTTGTCAGTCACGTGTGTTTATTATGTGTGACGTCACCGAGGCGCCATTTTGAAGGTATCGTTGCATTGAGCAGTGAACTAAAAGTGTACAGAGCCGTGCAGTAAAGACCGATTTAATTGTCATACTGGAGAAACAGATGCAAACCAAGTAGATACGGTACCGAGATAATCTCAGCTAATATTTTTAGGAACCGTGATTTATGTAATTTGTCACTGATGATGATTAATAATTAACACCTGATCCATACTAAGGTTACCTGACGCAAAAAGTTGAGTGCCACCGGCATCGCTGCCTCCAACCTCGTTGGATATATGATTATCTTGTTTACAGTATAAAAACTTATTTTATTTACTTATACACTTATATGTTCTGTTTTTGTCAACCATTGATTTGCAC